CAGTTTTCTGAAAGCGTGGGGTAGCGTGAACGGAAACCCATGGAAAAAAACATGCAAATTCAATTTCATGTGCTGTGCGCAGTTCATGCAGCAGCGATTTGCTGCACGTCTGCGTTCTTTCAGTTTTGAAAAAATTCAGGAAGGCTGGATACGTGAAGTGCCTGGCGGACTGGCCAAGCAGTATCCTCTCTGTACAGTGGGAAGACTGGGCTTGGTTCGAGCACCAGGACGGCCAGGACGTCCTCCCCGTCTGGTGGAGGTCTTTGGAACATGTCATGCTCCCATGGAACCTTCTGTCATTGGGTAAATACGTAAGTCAGTTCCACTTACGCCAAACAAGGTATGGCCCCAAAAGGCCTAAAATAATAAATAGTGCAGCCGGACAAAATGGCGTGGCGGACCTTTCCACGTCTGCCAGGCCATTGCCTTAAACCTTCAACATGCATCCTAGAAAGTTCCACCACAAGTGGCCTGGCGGACCTCCCACGTCTACCGAACCAACTTTTGACCGCCTCAACATGTACCCCATAGATATCCCGAAAAAATTGACCCCCCACCCAAGCCAATATTAAGGATGTGTGATTGTGTTGTGTATTTCTCAGGGTTTCTCGCGCGAAGCCGTGCAGCACACAATGCAAAAAAAAGCTCGCGTGTCTGTGTGTGTATTTGGCCCCGCTGGCAGCCCGACTAAAATTTGAAGAGGCTCCACGCAAGAATGCGGCCCTAGACCAAAATATGCGCAAATCTCACGCCTGAACATGATTGTCACGACGTTTTTCGCGCTTGTGTGTTGCCGAATGCCCTGGCGGAATAACAAATATTCATGAGCACCGTAAATGTTTTGCCCGCACGCTGCCGTGAGGACGTTCCACGCAACAGCATGGTTTGTGTCAACCATTTATTCGCACCATGTACGCAGGGTCGTCCGTGTTTCCGGCAATGGATGGGGTCGAGGCTTGGGCGCAGCGAGAGGTGGCAAAGAGTTACAATTATTTTTTGCCCCTGGCGACAGTAAGGCTGCGAGACACGACAAGACGACGCGGTCACGACCAGCTGCAAACGCCTCGCGGTGAGAGGAGGTGACACAGTGCACAAAGCGTGGTGCACGCGCGGTGCACGCGCGGTGCAACGCAAAAGGGCAACAGAAACCATGAGACCTGGGCACCTTCCAACGCTGGGAGGTGGTAGAGCAGGAACGCTTCATGTTCGAGAATGAGGTGAAAATGTGTGGATGTGTTTGCTAGTGAGATCGGGCGATCAATTGGCACACACAGCACGACGAGACCGCGCTCGGATGGATCCAATGCAGGGTTTCCGAGTGGCTTGGACGTCCTTGGTGACCATGTGGCGGCCTGCCCACGCTCTGGGGAAAATCAGGCAGTCTGGCAGCAAAAGCACGTGTGGCCGCAATGGACATGCTGGCTGACCTGCGGAGTGCGAGGGCGTAGGCGCACGTCGTGCGAGAAAGGGCCGGCACAGCCTGAGCGCGGCAGCGTGCGAGCAGGCGGACGAAGGTGGCTGCCTCGGAATTCCAACGGCAATCATTGTTTTCATTGTTGAATGTGATGTCGAGTCCTTGCTTGAAGAGATAAAGAGGTAACAAAAGTACAAGAAAACACTGCCAAACTGATATCATTTTTAACAGCGTGGTGCAGGGCCCCTGGTGAGGAAGTAATGTTAACATGACATTAATAACCCCCCCGAACTTGTTTTGCGATTTGGGCTTATGGAAGAGGGGGATCTTAATAATAAATGACGGGTGGGTTGAGGTAGGACTACGTAGTGCAGCTCGTAGGACCAGTAGTGCAAGTAAAAGGAAATCTGATAAAATCGGGATATTTCGGGCCGGAAAGATATATTATTGTCACCCCGTTGGACCTTTCGTCGGGCTCCAAATTGGTCAAAAAGCAAATTTGATTGTCCGGGATTTTTCCGGTCCAGCAACTCAATGCTATTGTCACCCCACAGAATAATGTTATGCGAACATTATATGAGCGCTTGAAAACCGCGTCTTGCGTGAAGCGTTCGCCGATTTTGGTCTAGACTCACACTCTTGCGTGGGCCGGTGTCATGTTTTTTTGCCCAAAGTAGCTGCTCCAGGGCACTTGGTGTAGACAATGTACGGAGCGCGCGAAGCCCCCAGGAGAATTGTGCTCCGGTGGGAAGCGTCCGCATAGTTTGGTTTAGACTCGCGGTTTTGCGTGGGGTGCCCTCAATTTTGGCCAAAGAATTCGCACAGCAAAAAGAAAAAACGACATTTTTTTTTTGTTCTTGTGTTTTTTTGGGTGTGCTCGCCGTGCTCCAGAGTGTTGAATAAAGATCAGTGGGCACCCAACAAAACACGCAGAAATCACGCAGACAAAGAATACGTTTACGGGATTTGAACTCAACCGCAAACACGGGACATATCCCGAGTTCCAGCGAGCCAAACGCCGCAAGCTCGTTTTCGGTGGGATTGTGGATGCCGGTTGAAAAGGGGACCGGCAAAGAAACAAGTTTAATAAGGACACGAGCACGGTTTTTTACGGTACATCAATGAGAAGTGCGCAACACAGAAACTCATCAAATCTTGGTCCGAAAACAAGGTTTTCCTGTGTGCGCGGAAGGGCGCGGAAGGTCTGCGGAAGCAAGCCCTTCGCGGAAGGGCTTGTGGAAGCTCATGAGCGTGCGCGGAAGTCCCTTTCGGAGTCTTCGAAGCCCTTTCGCGGAAACAAATCCCAAAATTCAGCCGAAAAAACCTTTGCGGAAGCAGCCGAAAAAGGCGGAAGCAAAAAAGATTACAAGCGCTACTCGCGGAAGGATCGTGGAAGGGTTTCGCGGAAGGGGTAGTTTCTGTAATGAAATTTTATCAGAATAGAAACCACCGCTCGGGCAACACTCCATCAACACGCGTACAAAATCCGGCTCGCTTGCAGTAATCTGGTTTCCGTCCGCGCTGCTCTCAAAAAAACGTGGTTTACATTATCCCTGGTCCCTTCAGTTTCCGGGCTCCTGCCTTGTTGATAAGATTTGATAAGGTACGCTTGTTGACGTCTACCCCACCGTTTCTTCAAATCCACCCAATTTGAAATACCGCTCCTAGATTCATGAGGGCAATGGGGGGGAGAAACCACACTGTTCCCCCTAGCAGGCTGCGAGGCAGGGCGCATTGCGCAGTCGCGCGCTTTTGCTACGGAAGTACATGTGCTAAAAAATTGCAGCACTGCGCGCGCACGCGTGCTCGTTGCTGGAGCTGCCCATGGCCGCATCACCCGCCGACCCCCTGGATGGCCAGGAGGTCCCGTTGGGAGACGTCTTGGCGGGCGGGGGGCCGCCGACTGTCAGCCGACTGCCGGGCAGCACTGGCTAGCCGGGCTAGCCTCAACGGCTGCTGCTTAGCCGTGGACTGACCCAAGGACACTCCCGCAGTCGGAAAAAGGTGTGGACAAAAAAAAAATGAAATGCAGGCGTAACAGTCCCAAAGAAAAAACCCAAAAAAACGTTGCACTGCTTGGTGTACGTGGTATGCAGAACGCTGCAAGACATTGCAAGCTTTTGCCAGGGTTATCGACAGCCAATGACAAGCCAATGGCAAGCCGATGAGAAGCCGATGACAAGCCAGTGTCAAGCCAATGACATCCAATGACAAATCATTGACACGTCAACGACACGGTGGGTTAGACCAAGTCATAAAACGAAACCGCTACAGTCTCCGGACTCCTGCAAATACATGTTTCCCATGGAGCATGCGACGTCGACGATCATGGCGTCATAAAGATGGGCCAATGAGTGGATTCCATGTTGGGTGCCGCGTGCGTGTGCTTCGGGGTCGCCACTTTGCTGATTTCCGAGAAGGTGCGCGTGCAATGCATTCTGAAAGTGCATGTGATTTGGGTGCTTTCGTAGTAGAGGTGACGAAGGCATCATCGTGGAAATCAATGGGGAATGCCGGAACTGCAGCTGAACTGCACTTCAGATTTGTCTCGGGTTTCAAGGCGTAGGGTCACGCGCAGGGTTGTGTGGGCCAGGCCTGGGATTCAATTGAGTTATTATCACAGTGATTATGACTCGAGACTCAAACCCCCAAACTGCAACCTTCCTAGAGCGGTCAGCAATGAAATCAACCTGGGAGCTCGAAATGAGTGGAGTCGGTTGGGTGGGGCGAGGGGTGGGCGGGCACCCAGTCGATGCATGTTGGGACCCAGACCCTGAGGCTCGGGGACCGACTGCGGACCCAGCCGATGCACCAATTTGGGGGCCTTGACATGAGGCACGTCTAGGCACATTTGAGTGTTCCAGCTGTGTGGTTTTGCTGGGCCTGCTTGCGTCGCAGCACAAACAAAATGGGGCTCCAGACGCCCAACGCGGTGCATCGGCTGGGTCCCCAACAGGTTTCGACGGGTTTGCGGATCGGGCCCCTGTTCCTGGACCTGGGTTCTCCGAAGCCAGTGCGTCAGCTGGGTCCCCGACGCGTCCGACGCATTCAGCGGGTTCTAACAGGTCCCAAACCTCTTTGAAATCTTTGAAATCAAACTAGACCTAGGATTGGTGGATTAGGTTTGTTTGAAACCAAACCGCACCGAGAATTTGTGGGTTTGGTGTGATTTTAGGGGTTTGAAGGGTTCTGGGTGAGATTCTGAGTGTGGGGAGACGCACCTGGATCGTGCAAATTAAAACCCAGCCTGTTCGCGTCAACTCGACCCCATCCTTTGCGCCGCAAAGCCCTTAAGACTTAAGTGTTCCAGGTTTATTTCCAGGTTTTTTTGAAAAGGTTTACAACTTTCAAGGGGTTATAGGGGCGATATTGCATCCTTTGAGCGGCTTTGAGGGCTTTCTTCAACGGGTTATAAGGGTTAGGCTTGTAAAGGAATTCTTACACGGGTTGTGGGGATATGGTTGGAATACTGTGCGGTTGGGCGCCGCAGGGATACTTGTGCGCTTGGATGTTGAAGGGATATTTTGCGGTTAGCCACTGCGCGGAGGGCGAGGACGAGGAGAACATATACTCCTTAAAAATCCTTAAAATCTAGCAGCCCCAGGGTCGGGAATTCGGTGTAATAGGCACGAACTAGTTTCATCTAGTTTCCAAACAGAATTTTGCGGAACGCATCGGTTGACCACTGGGAACAGCATGTGGAATGGTGGGCCCAAGGTACAGTGGTATTCGAAAGCAGTCAGGAGAAAACCAAGGCCGTCTCGACCCGGGGTTTCAACAATTTTGAGTTGAATCACATGCGTGGCACACGCAAGTAGGGAGCAAGCGGTTGCCGTTGCGCTGTTGGTGGTGGCTGTGCTTCTCTTGAACAGGTTGCCTTGAAACACTTGCGCGTCATTGGTCAATTTCGCGCAGACGGACCGATATTCGCAGGGTAATTAGGGTGTTTTCACAGTGCTGGAGTAAACTTGTGCCAAGCTTCACGAAGCCAGGACGCAATGGCATGCCCAGCGGCGCCGGTCGTGCAGCGAACTTGCCCATGGCTCTTGCTCAACAAGCTGTGCCTGCAATGCGATGCTTGGCTTTGTCTTTGCTCATTCGTTGTTTCAGAAAATCCGATTCTGACAAAGAGAGTCGTTTTTGCAAGTCAGGATCAGCAGATGCAGATCAGTTGAAGGCAGTGAGTAGGATCCTTGCGGGCACTTACCTTTGGCGCGTGCTGAGTCGGTGCACATGTAACAAGTTGTAAACCAACAATTCCAGCCCTGACGTGCAGGCGTTGGAAGCCCAAACTGAGGCCAACCAGTGTATTGTTTTCCCAGTTTGCTTAGTTGTACGAGGCACATGCATGAGCAATCATGAGGGCATCTGCGTCTGGATGTTTGTCGTGGCAGGATTTGCGATCACGACTGGCGGCCAGCACTCACCGAGCAGATGCCGCCGAGGCGGTGCCGCCGGTTGATGGGACCAAGTTTGTGGGGATTTTGGGCGTGCCAACGAGAACCGTCTGTGGCAGCGCTGTACGGCTATTCCTGTAAGGGTGAGCCTTATCGTTAGCGGGGAAAGCCTGCATCGCAGTGCACAACTCAGACAACAATTGTGTTTTGTTTTCTTCCAGGTTGGCTGGCAGACGGGCTTGTGGGGGTGAAATCCAAGTATGCCGCCGGTGGTCTGCCGCTCATGCTGTGTCCGGCGGCTGCTCGTTCAAGCCGTCTTTGTCTCCAGCTTTTCTCGCGCCCTCCCTTCTATGGTTGGTTTCTGTTTCGCTTGTAAGCTCTCTTGGCGTGCGCTCGCAGGCTTGGGTGGAGAAGCAGCAGCTGGAATTGGTTGCCAAGGTTCTGCAACTCCCAGCATGTCAGAATCAGGTAGGGGGTATCCTCGCCGTCCAGCACTTTGAACTCGGAGTGCTGCCAGGCCCATGAGTCTGCCGGCATGGCCGAACAGCTGCAAAGGTTACGCGATGAAAGATTGCAACTCGAAGATGCGCTTGTGGAAAAGGAGGCCAGGACCTGCTATGGCAACCAAGCGCGACAATTTGGCAACCGTTGCAGCAGGCATCCATTGAGAAATTGCGCGGTGAAGTGGAGCAGGCTGGCTGATTTGCAGTGATTTGCAGTTCTCCTGGCAGGATGCAAGGGTAGAATTCCCCGACCATCCCTTACAGACATTGCACATCACTTAGGCGCGGGAAGTTTCTTGCGTATGGGCTTACGAGTTGCTACAGTGACGCCCGTGCCCTGAGTCATGAAGTAGTGGCAAGCAGCGTGGTACCTGTATTAAACGTACTGTGCCCAAGAGTTCTAAACGACGTGGAGTGTACAGTTTGTCAGGCGGGTCAGCTTTGCAAGCAGCAAAATGCAACGATGGCAGATTTGGAGGCTCGCGTGCAAAACATGGTATTCTGCTGGTTGAGCGCACGTCACAAATGCCTTTGGAAGAACATGCAGAGGCTCGCAATCGTCAGCTTCAGGGGCAGTTGCAGGATTTGCAGAATATCTGCAGACAGCAAGCTCACCAGGTACCCTTCACAGCACATCCGAGCTGTAGATGTAAGGGTCAGCAAGTCTGTGTGCTCACAACGAGCTACGACCCGTGCACCGAGGACAAGCAAGCCAAGGACCTTGAGATGGAGCGCATGCGTGCTTGCCTTACCCGTTGCGATTCCTGATTCACGTGCTAGGAGCTGTAGTGTTGAAGTGATGTAGATGTGTGTTGCCAAGGAGTGGAAGCATGTTCTGTTGCTTCAAAGACCGAAGCGTTGGCACGGGCCGAGGCATGAATGGGTTCATTCAGAGGTGTGTGCATCCCAAATAGTAGAGTGCCAGCCCAGCACGAAATACAACAGTGCATGGTACTGTGTTCCATCGGAACTGGGCAGGTCATCTACTCCAAATTCCGAAGACTTGCACAACAAAAGACCAATTAAAACTTGCTTGCAGCTTATACAAGGTCCGGCTGGACCAGCAACAGCTGGAACTGATCGCAAAGGCCATCATGTCGACAAGTAGTAACTGTCAGAAGAGGTTGGGTATTCATGCGATGCCTTCAACTCAGGCCAACGATATTGCTCGGCTTGCGGAAGAGTTGCACATATCACGCGCTGAAGCCTTGCAAGCGGACCTGGCGCACGCACGGGTAGAGGCCAAAGCTTTGGGAGTCCGCACTGTTGTGACTGCTCTGAATGCAAGGCGGTCGAGGAGCAGATGAGTAGCGAGCTGGAACAGGCACCATCAACAGCTTCAGTTTTGGGCAGAATATTATGAGGTCCCTTAGCTACCAGTCTCGCGTGCCATGGCTGGCAGCAAAATTGTGGAGCTGCAGATTCACAGGTTGACACAATCTGTAGCTGCTCCTCGGCATGCTAGGCACAGCAGCTATCTGGACAGCGTGGGGCGGCAGCTTTGAATTACGAGGCTAGACCAGGAGTGCTGGCCCCGACTTGTGCGCGCAGTGGCAGCAGGAGGCCTGGTTTGTGTTTTAGTGTTTGCGAGGCGCAGCTTGACCTGTCGGAGTTGAAGCTGGACGCGCAGATGCAAGAGCTGTCGGCGCAACATGAGCTGACATCGTCATTGAGACTGCAGTTAGAGGTGCATTCAGCCCGTTTTGCCGGAATCGTGCGCCCAAGTCGCTTGATAGGCGGAGGTGCGGAAACACTGCGCGTCCCCTCGTACACAGCTGCTGGAGGAGACCATGGCAGATTTGCTGGGGTATTGGCCGCCGCGAGTAAAAACGTACAAAATGCGGCAAATACACCACACTGGCGCAGGAGGAGATTCACGCCAAAGATGCTGAGATACAGCAGCTGCGCGCTTGACCCTAGCTTTCCTGGAGATTGACTTATTTTCGTTGGCACAGAACGGCACCAACATCAGGGACGAATTTTGCACTGATGTTTTGCGAAATTTTCTGCATGGACGCATGCATGGGGAGGGGATTGGGGTTGTGCCGTATCCATGCTGGTTTGAAGCAGACCCAACCTCAGCGATGCCCTGCCAAGGCGCAGAGCAGCGCACGGTGGCTGAAACTATGGCTTCCTTGAAGACCGAGGAGTTGGCCAAAGCCGAGGCCATGTTAAAGCTCATTGGAAGGTCTTGCAGCCTGAGCTTACAACAGCCTTCAAGGCTGCAGCTTGTCATATGCTGAGAGAGGAGCTGGCTGCAGAGAAGGTGTGCAGTTTCTAGGGCACGTCGTTTATCAAGCTGACCTTCGCATGGTTTGGAGGCTCACAGAAATGATTTACGAAACGTCACGCTGCCAAAAGCAGGCCCAGCCCTCTTGGGGATGCAGCAGGAACAGATCGTTGGGTGCAGCGTTTTTGTTGGTGAGGTGCAGCAGAGTCGAGCAAAGTGCGGCAAGCCGTGGCCGCTGAGTGGCCAAGGCTCTCTGAGGTGGCTGCGCCGCATGTGATGTGAGTTTGCGTGAGCTGTGGCCGTGGTCACGCGAGGGTGGCTTTCTTTCGTTTCTTTGTTTTGTGTTTCAATTTGTTCACTTCATTTCCTTGATGAAATCAAAGCCATTTCAGGTATCCTGAAATAGCTTACAAGTTCCGACATGTTTCTGACATCTTCTCGCAAAGTGTCTAAGTTGTTCTCAAAGACTAAGAAGCTAGCTAGGCTTATACCTGATGAACTGGACAGTGCCCAGACAAAACATTCGCCAGTCATTTGCTCTTCCCTTCGTTCTATTCCCACATCTTGTGAAGGCACGTGTAGAGTCTTGAGGATGACATCGCCATCAAATGGCTTGATGTTGGTCATTTAGCTCCTTGTCCATCCCGCTGACCCAGGCGTGAGCTCAAACAAGGATGAACAAAAAATCAACATAAGGAACAAACACACGTGAAACATGTCAAAAGTATACAGGCAGGAAGGCGGTAACTAGTTGAGTTGGAGGAGGAGAAAAGAGGTTCGAAAACATGGCATAGGCCCAGTCAGACCAACCAACACACCACCGGAGCCATCAAAGAGCAACTTCGCCAGCAGCCCGACAGGAACACACACCAGTTGAAAACTCCAAACATGTCTTCCCCCTGATGAGCCACTCAGACTGGCCCGAACCTGAAACACCAACACTTCACAACAAGGGCGCTTACGCCAAATGCGTTGAGACATGTAAGTGTCTCGCCGGCAGCTGGAAGACTGAACGGTTGCTCTCCATGGACAGCATCGCCAACTAAGCCGCAGGCTCCGCAGCGACCGGGCAAAGACGCCGCGATGCATTCTCCTTCCGCAGAGCGCTCGCAATGCGCGGGCTCAATGCTTGGTTCTCAGGATTCCAGGCATCACTGAACATTGCCAGTGCCTGCAAGAGTTGACAGGTCATGGATGCCAAGCGGAGATGTGGCAGAGGACCTCCCCCAGTCAAAGCATGATTGGGAGTTCAAAAGAAGGTCCGTTCTGACGTCAACATCTCTGAGCAGGTTGTCGAGCCCAGCTGGCCAGAGGACCAAGACATGAGGCCGCCACCATTTCACGGGAAATACAGGCTATGTGAATCCAAGCACGCAACATCACGCAACATATCTCCAAGCGATAGGGGCAAGCTACTTGTGCAGGAAGTTGGTCCCAACAAGTCCAACGAGTCCAACTAGTGTGGGCAAATACGCCGAGGAGTGTTTCAGTTTCATTGCATGCGTCAACTAGAGATCGTTTTCAGCTTCCTCACGCGCTTTCACGAGTTTGTGCCGGCAAGCACGACACTGACTGTTTCAGCTGTGGCAGGAGTCTGGTGATGAGTGGTGATTAGCTCGTGCAATTGTTGATGCAATGGCAGCTGTTGCAAATGTGCAAGTCCGAGTTGTGTTAGGGCATGTTAGGGCAGCTTGTCACGAGTGGTAGTATTTGCAACGTCCATGGCCCGTAGCATGGACATTCCATTCTTGTCATGATGCTTCTTGCCTGGCAGCCGAATGGTTGAACATGAGCGTCAGTCAACGTGCAGCGTAGATGACAAGCAAAAGTTGTAAAGCGATTCAGACCCCTGGAAGGCAACGCCCGCAAGAATGCGCTTTTCTTATCTGAAAGCTTCCATCCATGTAGCAAAGCGACGTCCCGAAGGTAATGTGATCGTTTCTTGAACCCACCCTTCACAACGATCAGAGGCTCCTGAAAACCTACGTTATATTCGTATGTATTCATGCGATGTCAGGGGTTCCCCTACCACCCCGGCGGTACTGCGCCGCCTGGGTGCATCTTAATTAGGGCCAGGGTATCGATCAACAGAACATCGGCCTCTGCGAAGTTACCTAGCAATGCTGTGTGGATGCAGCAATATTGCTCTGGCAATGCGCTTCGTCATGCTAGCACTCCTCGGTTTGTCTGCAGCCAAGCGCTGTACGCAGCACCTTGCATCGCTGAAGGCAGCTCGCACGCCGGCAAGCAGTAAACATGGGACAGCCATGTCAGCCTACTGAGGCAGGCGACACCTGCTCTGCCACGTGGAAGGAACTCACCAGCAGTGGCTGGCCTGCAGGCAGTGTATGGGGCTAGACAAGACTGTGCTCCAGCAAATCTTTTAGAAATTAGGCTGGATACAGTAGCTCTTGCACCTGCTAGCAGCCTGCTAGCACAGCTCGGGTGTGTCAACCGTGGTTCTCTCGTGCACTGGAGATCCTGGAGATCCTCTGCTTCTTCCTACGCAGCCTTCACTTGGCTTTGCCTGGGTGCATGCTCAGTACGAGAAGCACTTCTCATCGAAGAAAGATGCTGAGAAAGAACTGAAGAGGCTTGGCTGCAATAACGTGGCATGTCCAAACCTGGAAATCTACGTCACGCCACGGTCTTTGATATACCTTCCTGCCTGCGCTCTTTTGGCTCAAGTTTTAGGGTTTAGGCACTCCATTCTTCTTTAGACAGGGCGTGACTTGACAGACATGGCTGCCCGACGCTCTGGTGTGCCTTGGGCTTCGTTAGTTGATGCCATGCGTCTAAGTCGAGCAAACACACTTACTTTGCAACTTGGCGCGTGTTGTGAGGCCCTGAGTTTCGTGGTGTTGGCCGCGCTAAGCGTCAGCTTTGCCTTGACCTTCCAGGTGCTTGCTATTATGAAGCCAAGCTCACGTGCGAGACATTTGGGGCCCATGTTATGTCTTCTTCACCCTCTGCACGCGAAGGCCTTTGCGTGCCCGAGCAAGGGGTCTCTACGCGGGTCGCAGGACAGACTTATCAGGCCTCCAAACATTGTCAAACATTCTAATGCCAACTTGAGCCTGTGCAGGATGCGGCGAAGTTGGCTGCCAGTGCAGCAATCCTGGCTACACCAGAGGCTAGCGCGATCTTGCGCATTCCTGTTTTGGTGATTGCCTGGCTTGCGATGTCTGCTGGGAGTGCAAGTGGGCAACCTGCCCACGCGCAACCTCCATGCAACGCGAAGACTACAGACAAACGCAGCATCATGTTTCAGGTTTGTTTCAGGTTTGTAGTTTGTGGCGGAGTATCATGGGGAAGCTGTTGCTATGCATGTATTGAGTTTGGC